ATGTGTGACTGTTGTGATAAAAAAATACAGTGAATGCTGCTGCGGAGTGCCATCCAATGGAAAGGCAGGGATCTCCAATACAGGAAGAGGCGTGTCGAAATATAGTAACAGTGTGTGACAAGTTTTAACTTGTTTGGTGCAGTCAGTTGGGTATGAACTACAATTGAGAGGTGTGTTTTAAAGTGAGCCGTAAATTATCCTCCATCGTGACAGCGCTCCGTGTCACAAATCGCTTCTGGTATACAGCAATTTCTGTCAAATAAAAACATTATGGTGTGTCCTCATCTACCTATTCACCAGATCTGGCACCGTGTGACTTATGGCTCTTCCCCAAAGTCAAAATGATTCAGGACTTTGAGGCAAAGTCATGACAGTGCAACTAAAGACACTCACGAAAGAGGACTTCAAAACTGCTCAGAAAGTGGCAAGAATGATGGGATAAGTGTTTGAAGTGAGGGGGAGTATTTCGAGGGGAATTAATGGCAGTGTGCCTTTTACTGTAATAACTTTTATTTAAACATTCACCGTATTGTTTGATCCCACCTTGTATACATAGTGAATGCTCTGTTAGTGATGACTGTGCTGCATAGTTCTGAATAAGAACATTTTGTTGATTGTTCTATGTCCCTAAGGCATGCTCTGGAGAGACAGCATGGTATTGTGGAAATAACCTAAGCTTTGGAGCTAGATAGACCAAGGTTTGAACCCAGGCTCTGCCACTTACTAGTTTTGTGACTTTGGTTTGTATAATCGTTTTGGAGTTCATTTTTTTCATTGTGAAACGGATAATAACACCAACGCTGCATGACTGAAAAGATTAGGGATTATTTGAACTAGGTACATACTAGCCAGGCTTAGTAAAAGACAGATGATGTTTTTGTTATTACTGTTTTTAATTTTTATGATAGTCATGGATTTTGGTGATACATCTACTGAGGGTGCCAAAAAAATGTATACATATGACTTGTATTTGTCTTTTGTTATCAGTGTATATTGAGTACTATAATTTTAATACAGTTTTTTCCTTTCTTAAAATGTGTATACATTTTTTTGGCACCCTCTGTGTATTAATTTTCCCAATGCTTCACATAAGCAGTATATTTTTTTGTCAGCCAAGGTTAAGGTTGTTGATTGTGGCCGTGGAACCTTGAAACACAGCAAAGCTAATTGGCCAACATGTTTGAATCTGTGACCCTGTACTCATTACCCTCCATAAGCCAACTGTTCACAAAATATCTCACCAAAATGAATGTTAAGACTGGTGTATTGTTGATTTGGCATTCATGCACTGTATTAGACATAATAGAAGTAAATGAACTAGTGCTGGAAGTAAGAGCATAGATTTTAAATTATAAAACTGTATAACTATAAGAGTAGCGCTCACACTTTGTATAAAACTGGTGACCTGCAGGATGATCTTTGCGACCACTAACCTGAACTATAATTTAGACATTACTTTTAGTTGTTGAATTGTATTTGTTGCAGACTTCCCACTC